CCCCACCGCCCAAAGAACAGGGCTTAGTAAGAAGCATGGGTAGGGCTTGGGGGTCATGGGGTCCTGAGTTCAAACTTAACCCTGCTGCATTCTGGCTCTGAGCAATAATACACAAGTCTTCAAACTTCAGTCTTCACATCTAAATAAATTCCACAAAATAAAATAGACTTTGCAGGGCTTGTTATAAACATTGGGAGAGTCTACCATATAGTAGGGACCAACTGGTAATGCCTTTCAACTTCTGCCCTTTTGTAGTCTGATATGGGGTGTTCCTTATTCACCTTTGTGCCTGCAATACCAAGCACAGGATAAAGTACATGGCAGGAGCTCAGTTAGCAGGAGGAATCTTGAACCTCACCCGCTTCCTACCCTCAAAACTCTAGGGTAAAAATTGGCAAACTGTGACCTGTGGGCCAAATCTGGCCCACTGCCTGTTGTTTTCAAATTAAGTTTTATGGGAACACAGCCACACTCATACACGTAGCTATGACTTCATGCTACAACATCAGCGTTACAGAGATGCAACACAGAACACATGGGCTTGCAAAGCCAAAATAATTTACCGTCTGGCTCCTTACAGAATATATTTGTGGATCCCTGTACTTGTATAGGGATACTTTCAGTGTTGGAGAGCACTTGAGGGCCTCACTGTTTTGGGGGAAAATAGAATTCCTCTGCTCCTCCCCAATCCAGACATTATCTCCTCTTTCCCTAGTTTATTTTTTCTTCTTAGCTCTTACCATTACATAACATGCTTTTTATTTTTGTTATATATGTTGTTTACTTTCTACCTCTTCCATTAAAAAAGCTCCACGTGTATAGGGATTTTTACTTGTGCTAACTCCTGTATATCCAGAAGCTTGTCCAATGCTTAGTATGTAGAGGGCATTCCACAAATATCTGTGGAATGAATAAACACTGATTTCATTGAAGAGCTTGGTTAGCCAAAGTGTGTTAAAGAGGGAACACACTTTGGCTAACCAAGCTCTTCAATGAAATCAGTGTTTATTCATTGAAAGGACCAGGTGGCCCCTAATACCTATGAGGAGGGCATTACTTTTCCTGTTTTATAGATAAGACAACTGAGACTCCAGTTAAGTCAGTGATTCTCTAACATGTATGTGAATCAGCCGGGATCTTGTTATGATACAGATTCTAATTCAGGGGTCTGGTCTGGGGCCCTCAATACTACATCCCTGACAAGCTCCCAGGTGATGCTGATGCTGCTTGTCCATGGTCCACATGCTGAGGACTGAGGCTTCAAGGACCCCCTCGGGGTATATACTAGCACATGGGGGGCCATCATTTCCTTTCTGCTTCTTTTTCCTCATTTCCACGCATCTCTCTCACTCCTATGGTCTCCAAGGCCTGTCCCTCCTCCCGCCTATACTGTTCTCTGTCCCCAGACACCTCGCCTCCAGGCCTTCCCTTTCATAGCCCCTACCTCCAGCATCTTCAGTCCCTTCCTTCAGCCCAGGCTCCCCGACTATAACTAAATCTCTGCCCAGGACTTTCTGATCTTTAAGGTGGCTGGTATCATGTTTCTCCTCTGTTTTACGAAAAAGGTAATTCTACTCATGGTCCCCGGGAAGGCTGGCTTCCTACTCAACCTTCACCCCTAAAACCTTTACAAGTGACTTCTGATGGCCAAATATCAGGGCCGTGTCCAAGGGCCGTGTCCCCACCTCCATCCTCTGCAGCATCTGCTATGGCCAACCAACTCCTGCCACAAAAGCCTTCTCCTCTTGGGCCTTATGTCTTTCTCCTGCCTGTCTGTCTACTTTGCCAGTGCCTCTCTTCTTCTGATTCTTTAATCATGGTCAGTTCCTGGGCCTCATCCCCAAGCCCTTACTGAGCTAATGTATGTACAAAATACTTGGCATGTGGTGGGGGTTTCCTCTTCTCCCCTCCTGTCTTAATAATTAATTATACCTTACCCATTCAATCCCTTTAAGTCTAGGAACTGGTTCATCTCTCACAAGTGCTTGGTGGTAGATGGGATGGGAAGATGGTGCTTAAGAGAAAATCAGCCCACCTCAGGTTTCGCTATGGAAGGCAGGCTATTTGCAGTGACATAAGATGTATGACCCTCATGGGGGCCTTGGGGTTGGTGAATATAAAATGAATATAATTATAGAAACCCTGTGTCCTGTCTCGATGCGTCTGCATCCCACTGCTGCTATGAGCTTCCTGCTCTGGGACCTGTGGCATAGAACTTTGTCTGCACCGACTGAAAGGCCTGTGGTTATTACTGCACCTTGAACTGCAAGTATGTGCAGATCCGTCCTCTGTCTTTTCACACTGCTTATCTTGGATTCCACCCCAGCACCCAGCACACAGCACTATATAAAGTGGGCATTCAAAGACCCTGATAGGCAAACTGGCTGATAGGGAGATGGGAGTGAGGTACCAGAGGTGGTGATGTGTCCTGCATGCCTACCTCTACTGTGGAACATGAATGCCCTAAGAGGCCCTGGAGGAACAGAGGGGCTTCCAGGGACTACCATTCCTGCTATAAACCTTGTGGTTTCTGAAACGGGAAAAAAAGAAAACTAGCATTTCACGAGTGTCAACTTTGTGCCAGGCGCTTTACAAAATCATCTCATCTCCTCTTCACAGCAACTCTGTGAGTCAGGCATCATTACCCTGATTTTATAATTAAGAGGAAAAAGACTCAAAAAGTTCAGAAAATTTGCCCAAGGCACTATAGCCAGTGCATGATAGAGGCAGGATATGAGCCCAGAGCTGCATCACCCCCGAAGCTCATTCTCTTTCCACCATAGCAATGACTCACTATATTGTTTTGTACCTCCACGCCTTTGAAGATGCAGTTTACTCTAATCCGAATTTTAATTTTTTCAGTAATGGGTAAAGCTATCTCTCAATGCACTGATAATTATCCCTTGCCACATAAAAATTTTGCCACTCCACATATACACCATGGAATACTATGCAGCCATAAAAAATGATGAGATCATTGTCCTTTGTAGGGGCATGGATGAATCTAGAAACCATCATTCTCAGCAAAATGACACAAGAACAGAAACTCAAACACCACATGTTCTCATTCACACGCAGGTGTTGAACAATGAGAACACATGGACACAGGGAGGGGAGCATCACACACTTGGGTCTGTTGGGGGTGTCTAAGGGAGAGCCGCAGGGGTTGGGGAGGTTGGGGAGGGATAACATGGGAAGAAATGCCAGATATAGGTGACCAGGGGGATGGAGGCAGCAAATCACCTTGCCATCTAGGTACCTATGCAACAACCCTCCATGATCTGCACATGTACCCCAGAATCTAAAGTACGATTTAAAAAATTGCATATATAAAAATTTGCCACTCAACGAAGTGCTCCTATACCACAGTATGTAGAGGTGTCTCTCAACTGACGTTTCCAATAGGTGAGTTTATGCTAGTCTCTCAGATAGGCTTGCATACTGTGAGGGTGAACCTCTGGGTTCTAGTCATTTCTTCATTCACACTATCTAAAACATAATGTGCATGTTGAAAGCATGTTTGTGGGATGAATAAATAAACACATGAAATAAGTGATCTGGTACTTCCAGTATTGGTGATGGGGGTCCATTTGTTCCCATATAACATGAGGGTGGTAGTACCTGCCCTAAACACCTGTGGACTGAACACTGAGCAGAGGGGATGGGGCAGCCTTTTGTTGGCTCCGTCTTTATATGTGAAGTCTTCAGCAGGTAATGCTGTTAGGGACAACCTCTCTCATAAAGCTGAGTTTGCCAGAGGTGAGGGAAGACATGGAGTGCTGGGCAATGCACTTTATCAGAAGCCAGGCATTCCCTGTTTTAATCCTATTCTTTTGCTAGCTGGATGTGCAATGAATTCACATCCTTCAATCTCTTTATAATGTCCCTATGACCTCTCTGGACCTCAATTTCCAAAAATAAAAAAAACTGCATATTACAAATGTGGGACTAGTTCAGAGATTTTCTAACTTTTTATCACCAAGGATCTATTGTACAGTGTTCTCCCTTACTCCTTTGTTTTCAGAATCTGTTTATTATTATTATTATTATTATTTTGAGATGGAGTTTTGCTCTTTTTACCCAGGCTGGAGTGCAATGGCGCAATCTTGGCTGACTGCAACCTCCACCTCCTGGGTTCAAGCGATTCTCCTACCTTAGCCTCCTGAGTAGCTGAGACTACAGGCACCCACCACCATGTCTGGCTAATTTTTGTATTTTTAGTAGAGATAGAATTTTGCTATGTTGGCTGGGCTGGTCTCAAACTCCTAACTTCAGGTGATCTGCCCGTCTTGGCCTCCAAAGTGCTGGGATTACAGGCGTAAGCCACTGTGCCAAGCCGTCTGTTTTATCAATTAAAAAAATAATCACTTGTATTTAGCAAGTGTAAAAAACAGATAAGCAAGCACCCATCTGTAACTCTGAATAAAATGCATTGATAACATGAAATAATGCTAAACACCAAACATATATTCCCAGCCCAAAGCAAAGACACTGGATGTTTTTTTCACCTGTGAGGCTGGTTCTAGATAAGGTCATGAATCCCTGCAGACTTTCTGAAATAGCAGAAACAGCCAATGAATTCCTTTCTAAACTCTGAGCCCCCAGGGCTACCCATTCTTCAAGTAGAAACAAATGGATTCAGAAGTTGCTAAGAATGTGATTCTGTCATATGTGTGCAAGTCCTGCAGGAGGATTTGGCCCCCTGCTTGATGGAATTCAGGGATTCCTAACTAGAAAACTGCACTTACAAAGGAGAAACAGCCCTTCACATCTCCAAAAATAAGAAAAAAATCCAAGATGGCAGAAACATAACGAAGTTGAACAATGACAGTGCACTTTCAAGTGAAACACATTTATGCAAAATAAAAACTTTAAGGCTACAGACAACTTAGACAGAAGAGAAAATGAGAAACTAACAGACACTTGGTTGGTGCGGGAAATGCATGCTACAGATTCCCTTACAGGGCACGAAGCAAAGTTAATACCAGCTCGATACTTACAAGTAATAGGAGTAGGAATAAGCATTTCTTCTATATATTGATGGGCAGTCAGATGAAGGAAATGTCCAAAATGGGGGAAAAAGAAAAGACAAACAAACAAGAATTAGATTTTTAATGAAATCTTGATTCTTAGAAATGCACATATTATTTTAGCATCCCTAAGCTCAAGGAGATGCAAGTTCCTCTACTAATCATCTTCACTGAGAATCAGATATTTCCAGTGGTAGAAGAAATAAGAAAGACCTCTTCTATAACAGGGAAACTCATGACCTGTCACAGGAAGTTTCATGTTGACTGTTGTGGTTGTTTCAAAGTTCTTCCTTATGGTCAACTAAAACTAACTTCCTTGTAATTATGATTTTTTCTGTTTTTTGGTGTGGGCAGCAGGGGCAGGGTGGTGTGTGTTGGATCAGCTCTCTGTGGCTTCCTAGGACTAGTCTACCACTCTTCCATATGATAATGTCCTGTGATGTAAGCAATGCTACAATAACTTCTTCTGTCTCCTCTGCTTCACATAAACTCACATCAGAATCTATTTAGTAAGGTCATACCCAAAGCAAGGAGATCATATAGCCAGCACCCCAGATGGCTCCCCAGTGATCTGCACGTCCTAGTGTACAGGACTTTATGGAGTGTCCTCCCACACTAAGTCAGGGCTGGCCCTGTGTAAACAGAATGTGGTAGGAATTATGTTCTGGAACTTTCCAAGCCAGGGAAAAAAAGAAGCCTCTCAGCTCTGTCCATAACTCTCTCTTGGAACCCTCAATTTCCATATAAGAAGCCCAACTTCCCTGAGGCAACCATGCTGTAGAGCTCCCAGGAGAGCCTCTGAGACTACATAAAGAGAAAGAGATGTCCCACCAGCCCCCAGCCATTCTACTTTCAGCCAACTAAGTTATCTCAGCTGAGACCCCTGACATTACAGAACAGAAATAAGTCATTCCCTTTAAGCTCTGCCCAAAGTGAAGGCTCATGAGAAAAATAAATAACTGTTGTTATTTAAGCCATTAAATTTTGGGGGTAGTTTGCTTTGTGACCGTAGACAACCAGCACAAAATCCAGCCTTATCATGGAAGAGCATTGTACTGAGAGGGAGGAGTTCCAACCTTCAATCTAAATAGACTCGACCTTGAATAAACTCTCTGTGCCTTCATTTCTGCATCTGTCCCTTAGGCACATTAAACTAGATCAGTAATTTTCAAACTGTGTTCATAGAAATCTGGGGGAGCTATAGCAGCCCCTGTGTAATGAAGAAGGATGTACTGAGCAGGTGAGGCTGCTGGCCCCACCATCCACCAAAGCACCTCCATTTTTATCTATTTTATACATTGGAGTATCATTTAAGATATCATTCTCCAAAAGAAAGCTTGAAAAATCACTGCTTTCAATCTCTTTCCAATGTCCCTACTGGCACCTGGCTTCCAAACAATCACAAAACTCAAATAAAATCATGATATTCCCTTTGTTATAACTTTTCATATGTTGTAAGAAAATAAATAGGAATGTTTTTATTTCACATCAGATTTAGCTATACTGACAATAAGTGATACATTCGTAGATTGAGAAAAATGGCTAGATCATTCAGGCCTCCAAATACCCACCTGAGTAGACAAGAAAGGATTCCTTTTTTTGAATGATTTGATTACTTGCAACTATTATCCCATTTGCTTGGTACAGGAAAACACAGTCTTTATAACTGCAGAATGAGGGACACATTGTCAGAGCCTAAAATTTTCCAATCTCAAGTAAAAAATACCCAAAGCTCGAAAGGTAGGGCCATCTCTAGTCTTTCTTTCATCAATTGGCAAAGCTCAACCCTACACCCCCAGAAGGAAAGTGACTCTAAAAGATAAGAAGCCACAGAAGAAGGAAAGCCCCACACCTCCTTAGGGGGCTGAACTGGGGAAAATGAGCCACAGTGCAGCAAGATCTGGCCACAAAGAAAACTGTTCAATATCCCAGACTGAAAGAACAGTGGCCCTAGATGATGAGAGGGTGAAGAGCTGAGGACTACGATGAGTGGGAACTGGAAGCTCCCACAGATAGTCATCAAATCCCCCTTGCCAGCAATACAGGTTGGCACTATAAGGAGATCATTTTGCCACCTCACTGCTGGTAAGTTCAGTGCCTGGAAAGTGATTCCTCTGGGACCTAAAACTCAGGGTTCATTTGATCAAGACTTATAGGGACGCCTATGTTCTCCGCATTGTCAAAAACACGAAGCTGATAATTAAGATGCCAGTGTTCTAATCTCAGATCTTTCAGTTGTCCATTGTGACACGTTGGGCAAGTAAATTCTTCTTCTTCATTTCGGACCTCTTTTTCCTGATCCATGCACCAAGGTGGATGGCATAGATGACTGACAGCTCAACCAGCTTTAAGGAGTGGAAATACAATAAGCCTTAGCATCTCAGGACCACCACTTAACTAACTATATGGCTTTGAACAAGTCACTAAACAGCCCTGAGTCGCAGTTGCTCTATCTGAAGGTTGGGGGCAATAATTATGTATTCCCAAGAATCACCATAGGCATTAGCATTATATTAGTCTAAATTATACTCGAATTAGATATGATATGTAATATATAAAGAATTTTATGTAAATTATATTAATCTAAATTGATATTATATTAATCTAAACATCTGGAATGTATTTGGGCTCCATAAAGGGTGGTTTATGTCTGCACCTCATCCACAGATATAAGGTTTAGTGCTTCTCAATCTGGTCATCAGGAACAAAGTGTTCGCCTCGTTAGGAATAATAAAATAAGAACAGGCCAGGCACAGTGGCTCAAGCCTGTAATCCCAGCACTTTGGGAGGTTGAGACGGGCAGATCACGAGGTCAAGAGATCGAGACCAACCTGGCCAACATGGTGAAACCCCGACTCTACTAAAAATACAAAAATTAGCTGGGTGTGGTGGCGTGCGCCTGTAGTCCCAGCTACTCGGGAGGCTGAGGCAGGAGAATTGCTTGAACCCGGGAGGCAGAGGTTGCAGTGGGCCGAGATTGTGCCACTGCACTCCAGCCTGGTGCCTGGCGACAGAGTGAGACTCTCTAAAAAAAAAAAAGAACAAATACTTATACAGCAATTACTATGTTTCAGGTATTGTTCTCAGCTTCAGCGCACATTAACTCATGTATTCCTCACAGCTGCCCTAAAAGATAGGTATTATTGCCATTTCCACTATACTGACAGAGAAACTGAGGCAAACAAGGAGAAGTCACTTCAGATCACACAGCTAGTAACTGGACTTGATAGCAACATGGCTCTAAAGCTTATAGCTCACGTTCTTGACCTCAAGCCTGTACTGCTTTCAAGGAAGGATGAAAACTGATATATCTTGAGAAATCTGGTGAGTCAGGCACTGGGATGTCACATGTCTTATCTCTTTCAATCCTCCCCACAATCCTGAGGAGCAGATATTATGACTCTCACCGTTAGCTGAGGAATAAAAGACTATAAGTCCACGTCTCACTAGGTCAAAGGCTTTGTGTATCTTTGGACCAGTTGCAAGGTCTCCGTTCTGAGCTGCGCCTCCTCACTGTCAGCAGCCACCCCTTCCTCAGCCTCAGGCTACACTGAGCATTCTGGACCTTCTAGTTTTTCTGCTGTCAGCCTTCAGGATTCGCTTCTGTCTGAGCCAAGAAAACATGGTTCCTTCTTCACCTTCAAACCACAGATCACCTTGTCCAAGTTGTTTTTCTGAGTTATCCTGGCTGTCATCAAAAGCCCTCCTGCTGCTATCTCTGACCCAGCAGCAAGGCAACTCTAGGATAATGGTAACTGACAAACTTCTATTAATTGAATCTCTTTTACCAATTAAACTGAAAAATCTTCTAGGTCAAGTATCACAGGTCTTTCCTCTGTGACCAAAAAAGTTTACGTGTGTGTTTTTTTCTAAGCCTTGAAGACGATTTACTGAAGGTCTAAATTTACAAGGATACAGTGATATTGCAAGTAACAGATTGCCTGAAACAAAAAATCCTGAGCAGGAAGACAGCTGTGCTCAGAAAACAAAACAAAACAAAACAATAACCCCAAACTTAATAAATCACAGACTGCAGAACCTTATTTGAGATAGCTGACAAGATTGACTTCAGGCACAGTTTTCTTCTGTTCCATACAATTTAAACGGGACAAAGTTGTCTATCTAACCACCCATTTGACCATCTACCCATCTATCTAGATCATAAACCCACCCGTTCAGCCACCTATCCATCTGTCCATCCAAAAACCTACCCATGCATATATGCATCCATCCATCCATCCATCCAACCATCCATCCACCCACCTATCTATAGAGCCCATAGGTCCATCAATCCATCCATCATCTATCTATCTTTCCATCATTAATTGAGAAACTTCTCAAGGGCCTATATCCTTATCTCTGTCAAGTAGACATAGAAAGACAAATGAGATACTAATCTAGCCCATATGTCTGATGAGAGAGCCAGACAAGCAAATTATAAAGCAGATGATAATAAAAGCTGTCACTTAAATAGTAGGAGATCAATTATGTGTCAGGTACTGTTTTAATTATATTGCACGAACTATTTTATTTAATCTTCACAATAACCTTATGAGGCAGTATTATCCCTGTTTACAGATGAGAAAAGTGAGACTCAGAGAGGTTAAGCAACTTTCTCACATTTACATAGTCATTGAGTCGTATGGCAGGGATTTGAATCCAGGGAGTCTGATTTAAAGAGCCTATCTTAATAGCTATTATATTATCTTCTGTCATGATAACTCGTATGATGAGTCAAAACAGGGAGCTGTGAGTCCATACCTGGGGTTAGGGGTGAGGAGGAAAAGCAGGCAAGATGTCTCAGAATCTGGGATGCCTGAGTGGTACAGTAAAAAAGAAGTCAGATGGAGGAGAGGGAAAGGGCAATTTTAGGCAGATGGAACTGAGCTTGTGGTTTGGGTGGGTGGGTTAACACAGTGGGAATGGCAAGATGTTGGAAGGGCTAGTTCCCAAAGAGTTTGAGGAGCTTGGTCTCAGTCCTGTACATAGGTCACAGGGAA